CCACCCCCAGTCCCTGGCAACCACCCTCTGCTCTGTCTTTAGGAATTTGACTACACTAACTGGGTGCCTGGAATAAGTGGAATTGCACAGTATTTGTCCTTTGGTGACTGGCTTATTTCACTTAGCATAATGCCTGCAAAGCTCTTTTGTATATATATGTATTTTACCATTAGTATTTAATTACTTTTCCAGTTAAAAAGATAATTACTTGTCAAAAAAAATCACAATATATACTTATAAAGTTAAGGGGGAAAGCAGGAATCAAAGGTTTGTGTAAAATAGCGTTACAACTCTGAAAAAAATGTATCACACACGTTGGAACTCAGCAGAAAAGACTAGACTTTCTAGCGACGATAGTGATTAGTCCTAGGTGGGCTATGTTTACCTTTTATTTTCTATTTTTCTCATTATTCTAGAATGAGCGTGGTATATTTATAATCAGGAAAAAGCAAATGCAATCTAAAAAATAGGTATGTCACCTTCAGGAAATAATGCTTTATCTGAGCTTTCTCAGAATACCTGAGTTTACTAAGTTCCTATATAATTTAAATGCACTTATTGTCAATTCCTATATCCCAACTGGAGTTAGGAAAGTAACACTTAATCTTGGCCAACAAATGCATTCAATGGGTGAACGGAAGATCAAAGAACAACAGAGTGTGATCAAAGTGTGTTTTCTACCTGAGTTATCTGTTTGGCTCCCAGCAGGTCTCCTCCTGGGTGATCCTGCCCAAAGTGTCCCACTTTAGAATTGTCTCCTTGGGGAAAGGGGGGGCTGTCCCAGTGGTACTGGCTTGGGAGAGCTGATTGTGCCTATGTGACCGCAAATACATCAAGAGGCACCAGTCCCACAGAAAATTCCGGACCCTCGGCTGAAAACTTGCCAATTACCGATTTTACCTGTATCTTGCCAACTGCAGTGAGGATGTGAGGTGTTTGTCAGAAAAGCTTGAGGAGCTGCTACACCAAAACCAATGCACTTCCCTTTGTTTATTTAACAAAATATATATTGGGTGGTAACAAGGTGCCAGGCACTGGGAATCCAGGAAGAGGTCCATCTAAAATAGACTTATTTCCATACAAGGTAAAAGATGAAAGCCAAAACTAAAGGGGCTGGGAACCGAGGAAAACTGTCAGGAGCTGGCTGAAGAGTTAAAATCACCGGGCAAGAGAGGAAAAATAAAAACACTGTGCAACTTCATGGCTCAGTTCACTGGGCGAAACACTCTCTTTTATTGGTTTCAAGAGGATTTCGTCATGGAAGAAGTATTTCAATAAGAGGGCCTTTGAGCAACAAAACAAATTATTATTTTTTTTTAATAGCAGTTTTTTGGTTTTTTTCCTCAACATTGCACCATGAGGAAAGTCTCCAAACTAGAAAAGATGAGAGAACACAAACACTGCCTCTCCACCTAGTAGAGTATCCAATTACTGTTTTATTGTACTAATAGCACTTTTTTTGTTTTTAAAGAGGAAGTTTCTGGTGGGGCTTCAAGGATCACCCCTTCCTGAGGATATCACAGCCGGGTGTCCCCAAAGACATGAGGACGGATGCGGGCGGGCGTGGCAGATTAGAGAGGAATGCAGTTTTCTGGGGAACAGGCTGGAGGGGGGTGGAGAAACTTTTAAAAGGGAAAAACAACCCCACCCCCCAAAAAGAAAGCTCCCCAGGAACAAGCTCGCTGGCTCCAGGGCCCTGGCCGGTTCCTAGGACAAAAGTCTCGTGGCCGCTCTTGGCCGGGAGGCCCAAGGGTTCACCTTTCTCCTGCCCTAGACTTGCCTTCGTTCTGCAAAGGGCTAGAAAAGGCAGCGATGGCGGCCCTGGCGCCCGCCCGGAGCACGCGAAAAGCAAACGGGCATCCCCGGCGCGG